TCTTGCAACTTCTTTATCGGTTACTTTTATACCGTTGATATCAATGATGTGATCTTTCTCTTGAAGTGATTGTGCTGCTAACGAGCCTGAAAATGATATCAAATTTTCGATTTGGAGACTTCCTACATCTTAAAAAATTGAATTAATTGAAACTAGCATTTTCATCCAAAGTTTTTCACATTTATTTTTTATCATTTATTTATTATTTTCGAATGAATGATATATCCTCTGTTTCAGAAATAGTTATATTCAGCAAGAATTTCAAAAAAAAATTGATGTTCTTATTTTGAAAAAAGACTGAAAAAGACTTGCTTAAATTTGCTGCAACATGAAGAAATAACTACAGATTGTTACAGCAGTGAATCGAAATCACTTTCGAAAGTTTGATGGAAACTACGAGGAATAAATAATTGTTTTTCTAAATTTTCATGTAATTTCGGCATATTGCATTGGAACATCAAAAAAAAAAAATGTTGACTTTTAAATTTCAGAATTATATATGAAAATAGAACCTGGATCAATACGTGACACAATTACGTTATTTTGAAAATGCTTAATGCCGAGGCCAAATTTACACCCTTTCACATAATTAATTTGAACATAATGATATGTGAATCCTTCACGACGTTTAAATAAACTTTCATACTGTTCAGGAATATTATTCTGAACTATCTGAAAACATTTTTATTGATCGTTGGATTGACATATTTACTGTAACAAAATCTAAGTAATTTTATGAAACTTTAACACTTGTTTCTTTCTCTTTTAGCAAACGCGCTTATGATTTAATAAACAAATAAACTTAAAATGCTAGCAATAATAGTTACACTTTGCAGTCCACGATCGAACACAATTCGAATTGTTGCACCGGCTGCTTCAATTGCTTCTCTTGCTTCATCAACTGTTTGGACTATACGGTCTCCAATCTTAAATTTTTTTCATTAATTTCATTTACACTCATTATGCATATTACTTACATGTTTACCAGAGATTATTACTTAGGTGGATTGCAGATTTTTTTCTAAGATTTTTAGCAGTTACTTCATAGAGACCGTAAAGAGCAAGAAATGAAAATACCATGAAAAAGTCAATAGTTGCTAAAGGTTATGCTGTTATCTTCTCAAAATTGCATGTTTGTTATCAAAAAAAAAGGAATTTTACATGTTTCCCATGAATTCTTTTAGCTGTTCAAACTGTTAGTAATTAAATTTCGCTGTTTCAAAAAGATCTAATTTCTCGAAATCCTAAAATATACTTGGATGATATGATCTCCAGGTAATAGTTTACCATCACAGGGACCTTGCTTAGATATCTCAATGACGTATAAATTTTCATCAACACGCATTCCCAACCCTTCATTATTTGTTTCAATAATCACTTCTTCATGTCTTTCTTTTTCTTCTGATGGTTGCAAACTGCAAATGTGCAAAACAAAAAAAGAAAGGTGTGAAATCATTATTTCATAAGGATTGTGTTGAAGTGTTAATTGTTATGATATTTGGAAAGATGTCTGTCGAGTGATTTGTTGTTTTTAAATCAGTCGCTTTTGTTGACTCTAAAAGATAAGGGAAAGCAAATTTCTTCAAGATTTTTTAATTGGTTTAGAAAATTTAATGTTTTTTCTTTTCTTATAATCATAACAAATGTGGATACAATTGTCATAATTTTAGAATGTTGAAAAAATGTGGGGTGGTAAGTACAACACTATAAACTATGATTGAATTTGTCGTTTTAGAAGTTCGCCTGGTTATAAAAACTTACGTAGACATTGCTGAATGCTATTGTGCAACCGTTTAAATTATTTAAAAAAATTCATTGAAGTGAAAACAAGACGAATACATGTTTTATAAAGTTGTCCTCCTTATAAAGTGAAAGAGAAATTTGCATGTAAATATCGAAAATGATGGCATTCAACTAGTGTAGTAAGACCGTCTTCACCTTGCTTACGACGGATTAGTAAAGGTCAACAAGTAAATGTTCCTGTACCGGTAAGAATGAGTTCATCGATGCAGTAAGCATAGCCTATTTCTCTTCAAATCATACGACTTAGTGATAAAATAATACATTTAGTCTTCATCACAAAACCCTAATGCACCAACATAAATATGCCAAAGTATACGTTCGGCTATAGCCAATCGAAATGTACAATAAATAGGCGATTCTCATAAATAAATACTTAGCTATAAATATGCTGGTTTGATGGAAGGATTATAATTATTTTAATAATATCAATTACTCAGTGTAATTTCATCCTTCATGAGGTTCCGGTAGCTCACTTCGATTAACAAACATTAATTTCCACATATAGCTATCACTCATAGAGAAGAAATATAAATCTTGATTAAGGTCCTCAATAAATTTGACGATATTTTTACGTTGAAGCAGCGCACAGACTAATAGCATCGATATACCGAAGCCAATGAATAAGCTGCCGCATATGCGGAAAGGTTGCTCCGATTGCTGCAAATATCTGTTATTTAAATAAAATTTTAATTTTGCTTGACAAAATTTGGTACAGTAAAATATTGCACAGAGAATCTTAATTATACTTAACAAGTATTTTGTCCAAATGATAAATAGCATTAGCACTGGCTCAATAGTTTGGATACCTATTTTTGGATATATTCTCGCTTTACAAAGTTTCGGAATAGAAAAAAAGGCTTTTAATGGGACTAAATAGTGAACAAGAACTTGCCAAAGGTTACTACAATTATATTGTACATGCAGTTGCATACTGCCTTCTACATGCTGGACTAAATTAGGCATCGATGATGAGAGAACAAACCTGACATAAGACGATAATGCCGCTTAACACAAGTGTTATGCCAACAACAAATAATCCAGCAACAGTAAGCACCGTACCTTGTGAGCTTGGTGTCTTTTTTTGCATCATCGCCTGCAACACAATTTCAGTAATTTCTAGAAAAAATAAATCACAATGAAAAATCAAGAGAGGCTTAGGCTTACATATCATTCCCTGGTAGGACCAGTAATTTTGACCACTTCCCAATTTCTTTAGAATTTTTTTTTTTCAAAAGAAAAGATTTTTAGCAATTCGATAACTCACTTAAACAGTGTTTGAAACGAAAATATAAACATGAGAAAAAGCGAATTCGAAATTACAAAACGATATGGTTTTGCATTAATACCAAGCTAATATCAACAATTTTTATTTATACTAAAACAAGTTTTCGAACAATCAAAATCCAAATCTAACTTTTATATTTGAACAAATATCCACCATTTAATTTATTCTCATCAAAATATCGTAATTTTTATTGATTCATATCATTGAATAGTTAAAAAGTATTAAAGAGTACCAAATAATTTAAAAAAATTTCTATCATTACAATATAGATAAGACTCGTAACCTGGGATTACTGCTAATTATGGGGACTCTCCTACCGATCATAAAAGGTCACGTTTATAAAAACACGCAATTCCCACTTGACAGAGAAATTAATCATTGGAAATTACCTTTTCGAAAACAGGCGTAGTGATGAATTGGAGTGAATCGTTTCGTTGTACAGAATAATGTTTTTTGGGCACTGTAAGACGAAGATTAAATCCACTCGGTGACGGCACTTCCTGAAAATCTCCTTGTACTTCTGCATCTCTCATTGCTCATTGTTGACATTCAAAAGTACAAAATAATATTTTATTCCGGAAGCAAATTTACTTCAATTTTTGGTAAGTCCACGAAAGAGTTCTAAAGAATTTTTAACTTTTCTGATAAAAAGTTTACATTTGAATTTTGCGGCGATTCAAGGTATCGATGTGATTCCATGCTTTTTCTTCCGTAGTTTTAGATCTTCTGATGCTGAATGAAATGACCGTGATGTGGCAGTTAAGGATTCCTGGCAATACAAATTATTTTCTTTCAATAACGATTCGATATAATACCTTAGTGATACCAATCTTCGTAATACAGAGTATGAGATCATCGTAACTGCGCATACTACTGACATTAATAAATTTTTCTAACATAAATGACACCCTCAGGAAGTTTCTATTGACAGGTAATAATTAAGATAGGTGATGATTAACATGAACCAAACTATATCAGTGATAAATTGCTTTTTAATTCGAACAGTATTATCTTTCATATCTATTTATGCTATAAAAGCCTATATCAAGATACATTTCAAATTCGAAATGCAATTCCATCAAAAGATGGAAAGAAACTTTATGCAGAAAAACGTGACAATCAATTAATTTTTTATGAAATAAAATGAATGCAAAAGAAATAATAATGGTTGATTAACCAATTGATTGAATAATTGATTGGCTGGATCATTGATTCGGATGTTAGCGAACAAAATGCGATCGTTAACAATTCTAGCATAAACGCTCTTTGTGATAGATGGAAGTCATGCCACATTTGTTTGTTTTTCAATGTTCTCAACCACCTGTTCTACCTTTCCGCGTGATGCCTCCTTTGGCAGTTGTACAATAATTTGATCGCACACAGCACTACAACACTTATTTTAATCGCATTTTTTGTAAATACGGGAAATATTTCACAATATTTCACATTCATCAGATAGTTATGAGAGGTTAAAAATATATGATTCTACAATTCAACATTATCCATTTACTCTCACCAAAGCATATTGACTTTCTGAAATACTGCAGATGGATGAAGGTTGTAACCAAATTTCGGTGGTGACAAAAGAAGTGATAGTGATAAAAATGATATTAATAACAGTATGGTAATTATCTCATCAATTCCCGGACAGATGACAATCAATTTCATATTTAATAATGAGAATTACAGTAATACTGCCCGACGTTAAACTTTTTTGCAATTGGTACATAAGAATGCTTTAATTATAGTTATGAAAAGATCTTCCATACAGTTCTACACTTTTGTAATATTTCAGCTGATGAATGATAAACAATTTCGTGAGCGGATAAATGATGACAGCGTGGTTGCAGCCAACAATTGCACCTTTTCAATTGGGTTAAATTGAAAGTAGTTAATAAATTTTTTCTCAAAATTAAAATATTTGTCTTCGGAATTCATGATGAAAATTATTCTCAGAAAGTTATATCTATTAATATTTTCATATTTATGAATAATTTTTCGTCTGATCGGTAAAAATCTTGAAATTTGAGTGAATTCTAATAAAGCAAGCTAGCCATAATATCTTGATGTCAACAACTTAGATTGAAATACTCGTTCAATCATCAATATTAATTGACTCACTTATGTTCGTATTTTAATATTGCAATGAGTTGAGCTGAACCAAAAAGTTATCATGATCGAGCGGAAAATGAAGATATATCGCTATGGTACATTTTTGTGAAAAATCCAATCACAATCTCGAATACAGTACTATACTAGTAAATATTGCAAAGTGTGAAGCTATTTTTTTAGCTGTTTTGAATTGATAGAAAAATACAGAGCCTCTGATTGTCTTACACAGTTAAATTGAGCATTGACATTTTTATTGCACATAAAATAAAGTTCACCAGCATAACTAAATTTAATGTCTTGAGGCAACTGAATTGAATTGAATTAAAGTTTGTGCAACTTTTCTAAATACATTTAAACTCTCTTCATTTCCACCCTATTGAGTGTTATGGACGACAGCCAGTAAACAAATGAATGGAGAAATGACATTTGTAAAGGGATAGCAAGCTAATATCAATCAGTACCGCAATAATTTCTAAGAAATAATGCTTCCAATACTTCGACAGCCATTGTTTAACAAATAGCACAACAAAAAAAAAAATGGAAGAAAGGAAAGTAAGTGAGTCGATTGTTAATTAAATATAATCGAAAAATAAGTTTTTCAATAACATTTTTAAGAAAAAGTGGGAAATTACTTGAAATCTGATCTTCCGTTTTTAAATTTTAAGACTCCCCGCAGATAGGGACGAATTAACAAAAATACAATCAAATTTTGATGTGAAATAGGAACAAATATAAGGAGGGAACGCAGCAATGTATCACCATTTGTCTAAATCATCTCCTGGTACCATCTTCAAAGAAAACACCGCCATCAATAGCACAATATTTAGGGCAAATGCCTTTTTCTCCTGGTGTTCCTGGAGGTCCAGCTGGTCCGGGAGGTCCAGGTTGTCCATCAACACCTGGGGGTCCGTCTTGACCTGGGGGTCCTTTTGGTCCTGCTGGTCCTGGAGCTCCATCTGCACCTGGTGCTCCAGGTGGTCCTGGAGGACCTGGTGGTCCCGGATCACCAGGTTCACCAGGCTCTCCTGGTGTAGGTGGTTCATTCTGTGCTGGTACGCCAGGCTCACCGGGTGGTCCTGGCAATCCTTGTTCACCTGGTGGTCCTGGAGGGCCTCGTGGTCCGGGACTACCTGGGCTTGCATCAATACCTGGCCGACCGGGTGTTCCAGCTTCTCCTGGATCACCCGGTGCTCCTGGTGGTCCTGGCGGTCCTGGTGGTCCTAGAAATATTAAGTATTAGTAAAAGAATGATATATTTTACAGAGCAGAAATGATTGCAGCAATCATTTCTGCTCTGTAAAAACAGTAAGGATTTTCCGGAAGTGTTAATTCAAAATATTAATTCAACAGTTCCTAGAGATTCTAAATTGCTTGATCAGTTTAATAAGCTAATTATATTACAAACTTTATTTGCAAGTTTAAAAAACCGTACCTTGGGGACATGGCTTACACGGTGGAGGCGTAATAGGTTCACAGGGAACAGTTGGTGGCTTGCCTGGCATTCCAGGATTTCCAGGTACACCTGGTCTGCCGGACTTTCCCGGTTTACCTGATGGACCTGGTGGGCCTGGTGGTCCCTGCATGCAGCAACCATCGCAGTGTACATTTACCGCGTTATTCACCTCAGCATAACCCGACTGCCGTGCTGTTCTGTTACTACGTCTGGAACCCTGAGGCGCATTCTTCATATAATTCACCTCGGTGTATATATCATTTGCTGAACCCTGAAATTTTGATAATTTGATTTTTTCAAGTGTAAGTCATATTTATTCATTGGTCTGCACTGGAAATAAAAAATAAATTCAATATTAAAAGTTATGTTATCACATGAAAACTCTACAATCTGTCACGGAGCAACTCAAATTCATCGTTGCCAGAATTTTGTTCAAATAACTATTTAGGAGAGAAGTGAAATAGCACTCACAATTTATCCTATTATTCGCTAATTTTAACTAAGCCAATTATTCTCAAACTTCCTGTCATTTAACGTAGCACCTTACCCACTCGTGACTTTTCGAAAGAAGACTACTTTATTAGAAGCTTAATTAAGTACTCATTAGTGGCATATGAAATCCGTACATAAAGTACAAGCAGATTAATTATAAAGACGTATAATATTCATATAAATGAAGCAAATGAAGACTTTTTTATCTTTTCATTATTTCTATCTCTAAGAAACATTGCAGTGACAACAATGTTGAAAATTGAAGCAGAAATAATTTGCAAGCTGACATGGAAGGGTAGCCAGATGTTTGATACTTTCACTCTCATCTGACTTATTTCCAGGCTTTTTTGCTTATACAAATATCCTTGATAAACATTTGTATTATTAATGAGTAAAGAAAAGTTAACGATAATAGAAGCAGACAAAAACTGTCGGAATCTCCGAAGTAAAATAGGTACAGAATTTTGATCTTAACATTTGTCATAAATAATTTCTTATTAAATATTCATTGTTTATCCTAGTTAGTAAAACTTTCTTGTGGGATTTGTGGTGTAAATAAATTTTATTTGAAAATGTAATTAATTCATTCCGGCGTAGTGGTAAATGGCTTTTTAGACTCAATGAGTGAAAGAAAAAGTAGCTGTTGCATTGATGTTTAAAGATATCAACTAAATTTTATAATGATCTTGACCTAATCTTCAATCGATCGAATGTTTTAGCTTCAAAAACTATTTATGATTAAGTATGTATTGTTTTCTCATTAAGAAAAAGCAAAATCTTTGAATTACCGAGTAGTAGAAGAGATTTTAATTTCAGCTATAAAAAAATTAGAATATCTACCAAGAAAATTACGGTTTACCAAGAAAATTCCAACAAATCTCCGACAAACCTGTTTGAAATCTTATTTTCTTACTGAAATCTTTTTTTTGAAATCTTATTTTCTTACTGAAATCTTTTTTTTGAAATCTTATTTTCATTCCTTCAGCTTGTTCCACAAAGGAGAAGGAAGAAATTGTGTATTGGCTGTTTCAAAATTCAGAAATATATACTTATAGTTATGAAAACTGACTAAACTTTTACATGCAAAAGGAAGAAAGTTTGTTTTTGTATTTGTCAATGATAACAAATGAAAAGCTACGAATTGCTTAATCATCGAAATTTTTTAATACTGTGGGGTATATATGCAAACAGAATTCATCCATTTTTCATCTCTTCTTTGCTCTGCTTTTGTGCCCAAGAACAGATGCCGATTTTTGACCTAAATTTCATCATCCGTACAGCTACGATCATAAAATTCGATGACCTAATTCAATGTCAATTTATGAAGAAAAGAAATGAATTCTTTTATCATCCAAATGTATCCTGATTGACAAATTCCTGATAACTGTATTTCATGACAAGCAATAGATTAATAATGTTAATGATGCTATTTGATGGGTTTATATCACTAAATAGTAACTTTAAATTGTGCTAGAAGAGTTTATAAAGTTTCAAAAGACCATGCAGATATTTGATGTCATATGTTAGCCATTTATATCAAATGCTGCTAGTGGATGGATTATTTTACAATGATCTTTCTTTAAAATATATGTTAACGACAGTTAACTAACTGATTGAAATGATAGTTCAAACAATCTATAATAGCTTGGAAGATAATGAAATTTCAGAACAGTACTCTAAAAACTTTAACCTTTTTCTAAAAGCTTTTACGATGTTCTAAAACCTATAATTTCTAGATATCAAAAAAAAAGAAAATAAAAAAACAGAAAAATTTCAAAAGATCTTATCCACATAATACATTTTATTACTTTTGAGAAATTTTAGAAACAATTGATTTCACTTCGATAATTGAATTTAATAACTTTAAATCATTTATTTTATATGAATTCCCGAAATTTTTTAAAATTTATTTCCAAATGCTACAAGAAATTACCTTGCAAAAATTAATTTCATGATGCATTTGTCGCCTTACATGTGCCACATAATTATAAACCATTGGTAACGATATGACAACAGATAATACTGCCACAACGGAAAATGATACGGCAGAATAGGTAACAAATTTATACGCCTTTATACGACTATCCGACTCCATCGTCACTGTTGGGATTAAGACGAATGAAGTTTTGGACAATGCCGTCAAAGGATTTCAGTGAATAAACTGCAATATTTTGGATTATAAAGAACTGAAAATACAACGAATCATCAACTAAAAGATCAAGAAAGTTATGAAATTTCTTGGCTACCAATGTTGAATTGAAATTTTTAGAACGAACGAACGAACGAACGAACGAACGAACTAACTAAGTAATTAACTGATGCCTCAAAATGAAACAATTCTTTTTGATTGGGACTAAACGAAATGTATACGTCTGAATCGGATTATATACGCTGTGTCATTCATTCATTCACATGCATACAACTTAAATCATTTAAATAGGCCTTTGTAGATTGGAATGTCTACTCCTCCCATCTGAAAACCCTTTTCTCCGACCCATATCTATCACCTCATCCCACATCTCACCGATCTCTTCGACATGATAAGACAATAGATTGATGGTAATTATTTGAGATGAGAACTATCGGAAGACATATCTTTTATCTTCATTTCTACTCATTTTTTCTTTTTTTTTTTGTACAGTTCACAAATGATACGTTTTCTTCCGGAAGAGATAAATGAAACGATAATATCATCTTTTCCAAACCGATATCGTCATTACTGATAGCTCCAAAGATTGCTTCAGTTTTTTTTTTCTTTTTTTAAATTAAACTAAACTATACTATTGAAAAATGTTTGATATTAATCGCTATATAAGGCATGCCGTAATTGTAAATACGCATTTTATCAGCAGTTTATAAACTGAAGAAAAATTAAATTATAACATTGCCATGCAAAAAAATATTCGATGTTATAGTTATTATTAGCCTTAAATAGCTTGCACAAACATCATTCATAAAACACTGTGTATTTTCTATTATTTATTATGCAAATATTTTAAAGCATGACAGATGATAATATAGCTCACTGAAAAGCTTATTTTCTAAGAAATGATGCTTTTAAAAATAAACATCCTCTCGATATTGTCCCATGAACAAAATTTGAATGATAAATCTGAAATGAATATCAGTCGATATTCCGATCAGATTTCATTGATAGCTAATTGGAATGACTCGTGGAAGAAAAAACGAAAAAGAACGGTTGGAATAAACAATTGCTTGTTTCATCACATTACAGCAGCATGGAAAGATGCATCACATCATGTCCTAAATGTCTCTTCTCCCGTCTTTTTACTTCAATACTACCAAATTTTCCACTTATTTCTTCTTTTTTTTTGGCGGTCTACATGTCCTTCCAAATTAGGAATTCTTTCTCCTATATTCAATAAAGTTTACAGTTTAAAAAGTTTGTCGTATATTTCAAAGCATTCAAACAATTTAAAATATAATAAATTTGATCAATTCAATTCTTTCTGAAGTTCCAAGATAGGATGATAAGATAATGATTGTTTCGATTCATCAAAAATCGTCTTATTCGGAAAATCTGTTCAGATGTTTCTTAAATTTGAAGCATTTGTAACAGATAGCAAAAACATATTGCAATAGAGCCAAAAATCAAGATATAAAAAAAATAATCGAATTATTTCTCAAATTAATTTATTCATTCTGCTCGAGTTAAGAATTCCTAAATACAAGTAAATTTGAACTCACGAAAGGAATGAGTGATTAAAAATGCAGCGCTTTCAATTGAATGAAATTAGAGATGACAAAACTGAAAAGCGAAAAACACGAGGAATAAAGAATATTACCGCGGGACAAAATTATCTCCACGAGTTAATCACTCACAGTCGGGAATGAAATATAACTCTTTTTCATTTTAAGTCAATCTGAGCACAGAAAAACTCTATTTCTACATATTTTCATACCATTAACATTTAACTATTTTCGCTAGTCAAACGTTAATAGTATGAACAATAGAAACTTGCAATCATTGATTGCTTCTGCCAAAATGCTCTTGAATGACATCTAAACACACGAATTTAAACTTAAAAATCTAAATGTGAAGAATTTATCTTGGTAAGATTTATGAGAAAATACTGACTTAGCTTAGCAACTCCAATTTTTGTTAAAAATCTTTTGATTATATCCTATACAAATCAATAAAAGTTGAACCCCAATCGCGCACATGAACTTCTAGAAGCGATCGATAAGATCAATCTATTTGAAACTCCTTTCTGTCAAGCAAATGCAACTCTTAGTAGCTTTCACAAGGTTTCTACTAAAAAAACTACTAACATTTCTGTTCAGTATTAAAAAGTGTTCATCGAATATCATATTTGATTCATCACTTTTCGAAAAGCATTTTGACAGCTTTAATCTTAGCAAGGAAGATACTCTCCCTTATTCTCTGCTTAAGTTCTCGATGAGATTGTTCTGTCCTACTTAATATATAGACAGAACAACCTTTTATCTGAAATCAAGAACGTTCCCCTTGCTTCAACTATTGTTTTAATCTAACGAAATTAAGTCCGTCTGGTAATTTGACTGTGTTATGCTATATTTCGTTTGCTGAATAAATCAATCAGATGCATAATTTAAGAGATACTGATGAGAATTTTATTATGAACAAAAAATTTATTTCCGAAATGTACTCAATGAATAATGAGAATGGTCGATCACTAAATGTTTCAAAAATAAACTGCAAAACATATAGTGAGTATCTTCCTTGCAAACTATACAATAGAAAAATGTATAGAAAGCACTTCCTACACCATTATATTTTTTTTCCGCAAAAACCATTGGCACAAACTTTTCAATCTTTTCCTTTCGTGGTCTTCCGCAAATACACTACACATATATTATGAAGTTCCAAATAGCTATTAGAACAGCTTCATTTTTTTGAGCAACATATTCCTACAAATGAGCTACATCTATTTCATAGATACCGGCCAATTAAGACAATGACCAGCAAGCATAGCTCTTTTGGTAGTTTGGAAAGCATTTGTTAACAAATCTGCTCCTCCTTTGACACGACAAATTGTGGTTGAGGCGTATGGATCAAATATCGAAACTTGATGTTGTTCATATTCATTACTGAAATAAACTTAAACAGCATAAAAATGTAGAATTTACCAGCTGAAATTTCTGGATAAAAAGCTATGAAAAAACGGATTGCATCACCTACGCCAAAATTAATGGTATTTCACTTGAAACTTTACCTGAAAATTTGAATATATTTTAACACCTACGATGTATTCCAATTCTTTAATTTGATTTGGCATAATTATGTGAGTTATTCGAGAAAAAGAAACAAAAAAACTTACCCGAATTGGTTTTTTTCAGTAACTGTAGCATTGCTTAGATGAAAACTGGTATGATTGAAATCATATTTTGCATAATGACTAATAAACAGCAATATTAATTCCGCCACATCTGGTTCTTGTCTTTCTTTGAAGTTCAAATCCTTCTAAATTTATACTTTAACGCAATAAATCCTAAAATACATTTTTAATTTTAAAAAAAAATGATGATCCAAAACTAAATCTAGTGCAACGAAGCGGAAGAAATTTGAAAAGAAACATACAGGTCTCCCATATAAAGATACTGCTACACGCTGGATTGGTAAATTGGGCCTCAAGTTCCCTCTGAATTTTTTACACATAATTGGTAGAACCGGTTGAATACCATAAGAACCAGTGCACTGCAAAAGAAAACACCATGAAAAACTTCTTGGAATAAATTTTAAACTACCTAATATTTCGTGTTTAATGTCAACCACAGAAACAATGAACTATGGATCAAATAGAATCTAACTCTTAGAAATGCAAGCTTACCAAAAGACTATTGTAGATATGTACAATATGGACAAAATTTAATAAAAGGAATATTGTTAGGGAAACATGATGCAACAAGATCTTGGTCAAAATCTGTGTATTCTGTTAATAAAAATAACTTTCATATACCTGTAAAAAATGCAAAACCAGCATCAATACATGATAGGTGGAAAATAAACCATGCTTGCTATCTTTTAATCGCTGTGATTCAAGCCATTTTTGTGCCCACATGTTCAGCAAAGCTACCCGTTCGTCATACTAAATTCAAAGATTCAACTAAAATACAAATTTTTATCATTTATCAGAAGCTAAGTATAGAGTTTGGAAAGAGTATGTATCTTTTTAGTAAATTTGCTTTCAGCCTCATTTCTTACATTAAGGATTCGAATGTTTTTCAACAGTGTTTCCCAAATTTCAGATAAAAAATGAAAATTGTAATCTCAAACCTGAGTACAATGTCGAACAAAGTAGGTATTTCTGATTGATGCATATTTTTCGAATTGAATATCAACCTGCATATGTTTCTGCGTTTGTAAATGAAGAATTGGTACCCGAGCTGTGTGAATAATGTCTGTTTGAGACCAGTCGAACTCTTTGCACAGAGAGGACTTTTCAATTCTAGTTTTCACTTCCGTCATAAATGTTCTGCAAACAAAGGAACAAATTTCCAACAAGTAGGCTAAAAATAATATCAAAATTGCAGAACTAAGTACTTGTCATATCGTAAGATATCAGGTATTACGTGACATCACTAATTTTTATGCTTAACATTCAATGTCATTGCTGAAATATTGCACAACATAATTATGATCTACAATATCTGCAATAACATATTTTATAATAAACAATGACAAATGATATAAATTAAGTTCAAAAATTTTTTAAACACATACCGCCTAAAACTTTCCTTATTAAGTGACTGCAACAGTTTTTCGCGTTGTTTTTCATCAATTGTTGACAGATAAACTAAGTCGATATCTGACATACCACTAGCAAGTCCCGAAGCAGTTGAACCTACAGGTACAAGATATTGACCGCGATTACGTGCCAAGATTCGACGTAAACCCGTAACGATACTGCTTCGATATTGGAAAGTCTGAAAAAAAGAGAAAGCTCAGGAGCTAAAATAATCTAATTTATGGCAATATTTATACAGCAGAAAGTCTAAATAATCATTTTAACATCATTTTACGTTGCTTACTAGTGTGATTTAAGTCAGGAAGAACAATTCATTAAAAGAATGCCACAACAAATTACCGTTACAGATTCAAAAGCTGAGTTATATTTTGTTAACAACTTGCGAATGCGCACTAGTTGACCTTCAGATATATAAAAAATTATTAAATCCAAAAATTTAAGAAAATAACCTGCAAGTAACTGTTGTATCGTTGAATCGCCTCTTCTCTAATAAGCGTGGACAATCGCTGCAACTCCTCCTGGTGCTTCCGGACCATGAATTCCACGAAACTATCACATACCGAGAATTTTCTCTCATCATTCTTTACCACTACAGTTGCTGAGGATGTTGTCGGTTGATTTTTAGCACTATTATATCGAATTTTTACCCGGATTGGTTGTGTTGTAAGACAAACACCATTCAATCGCAGCACACACGTTTTCATTAGCAACTACACATTAGCAACCAATTGGATTGGAAAACATCTACAAGCAACAGCAAAATCATTAAACGAAATTCAGATGTTTAAAGATGGAAAAGACCGACTGCAACTCAAAATTCCCGCTTCATTTTTTAAAAGAATTCTGCGATGACTTTTCGATTTTTTAAACACACATAATTTTTTATAAGCGCTAGTCAACTTAAATAACTTATACTCTTATACTACTACTTCTAAACTTCAGAAAAAAAAGAAACTAGTCTGGTCACTTATCTTAGTGAAATTTCATCAGCTCCTAAGAACCAAAAAATCTCAATTTCATTTGCCAAAAAAAATGAGGAAACGAAGCAGCAATCCGAAAACAACCTTATCAACAGTACGTGTCAGAGCATCTACTAATTTTATTTTAAATGATATTCCCATCATTGGTATTCCTTTCAATTGAATGCCCTCCTATCCTGATAAGCTGTCTATCTCATCTGATATGCCAATAAACGATTCTTCAAAACTGAATAGTATTTAAACTGAATAGTATTTTTGCCTTCTAAAACGGAACAATTTCAAAAAGAAATGCAAGGCAGATCGTACCACTGAATAAGTTCATCCACTATTTATTTTGTAGCATATTAAAATTAGATCTTGAACTTTATGCAATTTATACAATATATTTCAAAAATTGAGATAAAATTTGGGGCATATTCTCACTGTGCAGAAGCAGCTTTCTTTAGCTTACAATTAACTTTTTAAAAGCAGCTCTCGCTTACTGCGGCTTAACACTTTTCAACAGGCTTCACGAAGATTAATTAAAAGCTCACTCCATCGAATGATTGATAACTTCTGTCATAACTATTTATGAGAAAAAGATAGCTTCCAGTGCACAGTGACAAATAACTTAATAAAAAATTTCAAGAATAAAAAATTTCAAGAAACATTTAATGAAAGTGCATGAACAAAACAGAAGGATCTCTTAATTGATAAAAGACTACCACAATCTGCTAAACATACATGAATTAAATATGTTGATCAGTAAATATAATAAAATTATTCATTATGAAGAAAAAAGACAGTAACAAAAACCACACTCTGGCACCTTTCAGGATCAGAGGCCCGTAGAATGAAGTCTGAATATTTCTCACAAAATAAGAAACTTCTGCAATATAATAATTCAACAGTATGGATTAAATTTCCTGAAATTCACTAATAAATTGAAATCATAACTAGCTCGGTAGTTTTTCACAAAATATCTCAGTACTCCATTGCAAAAAGATTGACACAATCTGCGGAACAAGACATTTATACATACAAAATTTACAAATCAGAAACCTATATCTATAGCAACTTCAAGAGATCTCCTAAGGAAAGTATCTTCAGCAAATCTTTTCTTTTTTTTTTAACTTGATTAACATCCCGTTTATAATGTATAAAATCTGTTACATATCAATCATCGTCAAATTAAAAATCACTGTAGAAGTATTGACAATAGTAATGAGAACAAAATTAGAAACTTAACTAGATAATAAATATGGAGCGAAAAAGACCTAATTCACGACGTGCTTCATGAAAGCGAAATATAAATTATAAAAGATGTGAAGAATCACAGTACTGTTCACAATGCTTTAGTTTTCAGCCTTTTTGGTCAACGATAGCTAGAGATGTTTTTTCACTTTTATATCACTACTAGCCTACCCATTATAGCCCTTCATTCCCAGACAAATCACGATAGATAAAATCGACTAGGCAAACAAGAGAAGAGAAGTAAACAAGAAGGTTCGGTTTGCCAAATTTCAGAGATCTGTTTCCTTTTGGCAACAACAGAATAGAAACACCCTTACTGTTGCACCGGCACCGGCAGTATATGAATCAAATATTTTCTAGTACCATTTTTTTATGAACTTCGGTATGCTCCACAACCTAAAAAACACGTTTTCAATATCTATTCATTCTGAGATTCGACAATCTTTCAATGATAAATATTTCGTGTGCAAAAACATCAAGATGTCTGACTCTTAATTCTTGTTCGGAAAACACGGTATGACGGTACTGGCCGTCCAGTCGTATCACAATAGCTTCATCAATGAACTGAAGAAGGTTAGTTCACTGATGAAGCTATTACGAAGTTTGATCGTCTTCGTGAACAAAAGATATTTCATTAAGCATTTCTTGACATCAGGAAATAATCATAAAAGCTCTAAGCTGAACATACGATCGTTTTCAAAATGCAATAACATAAGAGATGACATACTGTGTGGTCAAGAATGTATGGAAATGAGTTTTCAGAAATGATCACGTAACAAAAACCAAACTTATAAAAAATATGTTAAATTAAAAAATTAAAAATTACATCGCAGAACTCATCGAAAGATATTTTACCATCACCATCTTTATCATGAAATAGTATTGTTTTGTCAACTATTTGTTGCAGTTGGTTATCTTTCAAATTGTTTCCCACCATCATTTTTAGAACCTGAAACTTGAAAAAGTTTATTATTTAAGAGGACAATGATTAAAAACATTATGATAACACTATTTTAATCACATCTTGAGGTTATGAATAATGGTTTTTCCACAGTTCATTTTTTTCAAATTCTACTCCACATTTCAATCATAAGAGCGCATATGAAAATCAAGAATTTGATACAGAAAAAAAATAAAGCATCAATAAAAAGACAGGAATGAGTCTCAGACAGTCAATTGTCTTTATAAACAGGAAACAAAGAATAGGTGAGATCTATATGGAGACTCACTGGCTGGTAATCTAATCACTTCTTCACGGTGAGTGAATTTTTTTTTTTAATTTTCATAATGTTTATAAAATCATTTTGCTAAATTAATTTCTAATAATACTAACCTGAAAAAGTTCTCCATTCGAAATATATCCATCCCGATCCATATCATATATACGAAAAGCAACTGCAAACAAATATGACTTCGTATTACAGTGTTAAGAATAGTTCAAAAAATAAAGAGTGTTGTGCTTTCTATTTCTGTCTTCTTTCCAATTTATTCTTCAAAAATCAAAGTTATAGTATTCGGTCGTGTTTCAGTAAATAAGTTTACAACAATTTTTCTGAACACTAAAAGTAGTATACAGCGAGTAAAATATATTCAAATATTTGAATAGTAATATCATAAAGTATTATTCTTCTTCAAACGATATTTTTAAAAGAAGGAAATTCGTTATTTCTTATTAATTCCTCTTTAACCATTAAGGAAATCTCAAAGTGATGAAACTCTAAAAATTTATGGTTGAACACAACCACTTTTTCTAAAGGAATCAAAATGATATACTATCATACAACACGGTGAGTTCGCATGATTATACATGAATATATAGATACTTGAGTAGGTTTGCTGGGTTTCGGTATTTGCTACTTCGCACAGTACAGAAACTAAATGACATGCAACAAAACTTACACTTGAGCTTTACTGTTTTGTCTCCTTTAACACTAAATTGTGATATTCCCTGAATGAATTCTGAAAATAACATAGTTTGTTACATTTGCGTTTTAAAAAGAAAAAAAATCTAGATGAAGAGTTTTTCGAAACTACAGAAATTCAATGATTTCGTCGAAAAAAATAAGTGTTAAACCTCTGAAATCGACTTCCCCATCACCATCTTCATCGAATATATCAATAACTCTTTGGACTAACGGATTTTGTTGCAGTTCCGGTAATGACATAAACTCGTCAACACTCAAACTTCCCGAACCATCCAAATCCAATTTTTTGAAACGTCGTGCTAGGCGCCGCAACTCATATGCATCAACTGCAAATAAGATTAAGACAATTTAGGGAAAATTACTGGAGTAATGAAAAATTAATGTAATTACTTCAAAAATAAGTGAAGTAGATGTCACACAATATGGTAAATTATGCTGCATCAAAAAAGGTTATATATTGGCTTTATTTCAATTTAATTTTATAACTTTTGGAGACAGAACAAGAATAGCTGAAAGAAGAAATAACTTTCTTAAAGAGAACTAGATATGTAGAACGTAGCATATAGCCTGCTGGATAGTTCAAATCAAAGATAGAATCATGGAGAGCCTACTTTTAAAGTGAATTCAAAAGGCATTATATTTCCACGACTTTTTTCAAGAAGTTCGTATATAATGATGTAATACAATTATCATATTAACAAAAATTATCTTATATAACTCCCATCCCTTTAATGATAGCTCCTTTTGCTGAACAGCTTGTTGATAAAGGTACATTAAAAAAATGAATATTTTCGTAGTCAACAAATGCTTGTCAGCACCATTCAAAGAATATGAATTAAGGTAGTGCTAGCATGATGTTGGAAAGCATACTAATTTAAAGAAATGAACAAAGATGAACGACTCTGAAATTCAGAAGAAATAAACAATTGGCTTTGTGACTTTGTATTAAATAAATGCCAGCAATATCCAGAATAAATTTTAAGGATCAAAAAGAAACTGTTTAAGGTGATTAAAAAAGGCAAACATACAGTTGCTGCACATTTCCATCGGCAAGGATGACTCATTTCCCTGAAATACGAGCCATTAATTTTTGTTTATCACTAAAAACTTATTAAAAGTGCTAATGTGAAAAAAGAATAACATTTAATAAAAAAGTAACTCAGAAATTTAATATTTAATTATTCCTTAAGAAATTGTTTCTTATCTCACCACGGATTATAAGACTTTTGAAAAAGAATGTTTTGCTTCATTTATCAAAAACTTTCCAATCAACTTTTGTTGTGAATTATAAACGATTTACAAATGAGTTTAATCCCACTATTGTTTTAACTCCAGATTTAATCTCAGAACACATTGCACTGTAAGCAAAAGCATTATTGGTAAGCCGACAGTTTGTATTGGTCGATTGATGATACATTTGAGCAAGAAAAGTGGACATCAGTTTTGTGGATTTCAAAACTTTCATTTTTACTTTTCTTCATAAAAAATGAAATTCAAAGTTTAATAAAACTAACCATTGTCGTTTGGAAAAAGATGATATGAGTGATGAGTGAGGGCGAAAACGTAATGAATGAAAAGGAATAATAATGGCTATCGTATGCTTCTTTTTTCGGGTCCTAAATAAAACAGATAACATTAATAAAATTAAAAAAAAATAACGCAATAATATACACGTCGATGAATTAAGGGAATGAGAGGGTGATAGTTAATCACACAAACTAGAATTACATCAAACCATCATATCATAAGAAATTGACACTTTGATGAGCCTTATAAGGTTACAAAGGAGTGCTAAAGAACAAATAAAACGACGCGGTAGTAAAATGTATCCCTCAGTTTCAGGAGCGAAATTTAACATTCACTGCCTGAGTGACACAACCTTGCGAACACAACATTTCAGGATTAAGAGTGAGGGAAGGTTATCCTATAAAACTTTGTGGAAGACTTCAGAAGACCAAACACATCTCATCTCAAGTTAATCTAAAGGGAGTATATTTCACATCTTCTTGTGATAACGATGATACAAAGGATTTCTTGTTAATTCAATTCCAGTATGGTAACATGGAGTTTCAGGCGTATAAAAACAATTCAATCTCTTCCTCTTTTAAATTAACCATTTCCGCCTCCATCCGGTAAAATTCGATACAAAACAGTGGAAATGAAGCATCGTACGGGACATTACAAATTCATATAAATAAGCAGAGCAGCAAACGCATATACGCATATATACACGCACACAC